AACAATTGTCTTGTAAATGGAATTTTTAAAGCATTCTGAATGTAAAAATAAAGAAGAAAGTGTGCAAGACAATAGAAACCTTAAACACTACCTGCCAAAAAAAGTGAAGTTTTGTTGAAATCTCAGTTGAAAAATGTAGGAAATCCAATCCCATATATAAATGAACACACACACACACACACACACACACTCACTCACAAACAACCTGGGTTTTATAATAAGTATCACTCGATATGAGTTATCCCACTTTCATTCTCGCGATAGCGATGCCTCTTAATCGTGTTTTCAAATTGATTTCGTGCAAAAACAATTGTTTTTACAATTTTTGGCACTGTCAGAACCACCGCAAGCTAATTTTATGTAGTCCTGTGAAGTTTTGTTGAAATCGGTTGAAAAATGTCGGAAATCCGATCCAATATATAAACGAACACACACACAACCTGGGTTTTATAATAAGTATGAGATATATATATATATATATATATATTACATAAACAATCTCGGTAGCATAAAGGTTGAGTAGCCGTCTGAACTTTGCTTCGTTTTGAAAGTAGTGTCACTGGATAGCGTATTTGCTCTGTCTTGCGTATTTAAACATAGAGCATTGTTTTTACTGTTTATGTCTGCCTTCATTCTTTTTTTCTTCTCAGTTTATTTTCTTTTAGACTTTGATTTATTGGTTTTGGTTTTATTTTCTATGGTCACTCCGCAGGATTTGTGTTGGTTTTATCAATATTTTGGTTTGTTTACATATATATAAGATGAAAACGTATTCTTAGCCAACTTGTTTCTTCTTTTGAGAGACTTTATCAAGGCAAATATATTATCATTTGCCTTGATAAAGTCACTCAGAGGACGAAACACATCGGCTAAGAATAGTTGTTCATCTCATCTTTTCATTCATTTTCTTCCTTTTAAGATACACTTTATCTGAAAATGATATATATAAAGGTTCATGATGTCTAAGGTTTAAAATAATTTTTAAATCTTGAAGCTTTTATTTTAGTTTTAATTTCAACCTAATAGATTAAATTTAATATTCGTAATAAGCAAAACACTTTCCTGTATTTCAAAACTTATTTAAATTGAGTGAAGTTAAATGAGTTTTCAAATTGAAAGAAATAATTTAATCATGCTGGCACTTTTATTTAGGACACAAAAAACTTCACTTGTTAATGGTCAACCAGATTACATATCTAACTTCAAGTAAACATTCAATCATTATCTATCCCCCATATCCTTATAAGCATCACATCCTACTTTTTCATCTAGTGTTCATATCACACACCTCATTCAGTAATCTTCTACCTTGAGTGGCTTTTGAGCCTTTTATTGGATGAAAAATAATATTTTACAAAAATCCTCTTTCGTACCAAATACAGGGTACGATTTTCTGTTTCTTATACTTTGTACGATTGCCGTCTAAATATATATATATATATATATATATATATATATATATATATATATAGTCCACTCTTCCCCGTCGAATTCGACATATGAAGGTCAAGCAGATCAGTTCCCAGGAAACCGACAGCACATGAGAATTGATTATAGTGGTGAAGGTTTTGTGCAGGACCATCCACACTTTTTGAAGGGCCGAATTCAGAGACCTGGTGCACTAAGTGCCACAAGGTCCCCAAACAACCCTCCGCAGGTTTTGAATTCAGAGTTGTCCCTTTCCTAGACCAGTTGCCATCCAAGGCTATAGAACTCAGTCTGTCCTGCCATTTTACCCATAGCTGGAGGGAGAAGAAGAGGATTCACACCTTTCCTAAGGGTATTAGCACGTAAGTGAATGTAATGGATTCGACTGGAATTCGAACTCGGCTCTCCGATTCCTCAATCCAAGCCACTATCCATTACTCCACCGTGATGGATAAATTGCCGTCTAAATTACGCATAAATGAAAATACCACTGAGATCTCATTTTAACAGATATATTTACCAAAATTACTCAAAAACATCTTGAAATATTAAAGAGTAAATTTATTTAATTTAATCACCATTCGCTTCAACCACGGCTTCTAGACGACTTCGGAATCTCCTGCAACTCTTCTGGACAGGCTCCTTGTTTAAGGTGGTGAATGCTGCCATAATCCTTGCCTTCAGTTTATCTTTGGTGTTACAAGGAGTTTTGTTGGGCTTCTACTCAACTACGCCCTCACATAATAATCAAGTGGGGTGCAGTCTTGGGACTTAGGTGGCCAGATGTAATGGATGATGTGGTCGCATGACTGGTTTCTTCTGTTTGTGTGGTATAGTGCAGTATCCTCTGCTAGTCACAGGTCCTTCCAGCAACCACCCTCTTGACCCAGGGCAGCATTGCCTCTTCAAGGCACTTGATGTAGGTTACCCTGTTGTTTCTGAGGCCCTCATCAACAAATTTGGTAGTCCTTTTCTTATCCGAACGATCAGAGTGAGTTTTTTATTGCCACTAGACTCATCCAAAGTTTTTTGAATACTTTGCACTGTCCTCAGATTAACACCCAAGCACTCATCCAACTCTTTCTGAATCCTATGCACTGTCCACACATTGCCCCCCCCCAAAAAAAAACACTCTAAAATAGTCGTATTGGAGCTTTCGGCGTGAATACCAAGAAGTCCAGTATAACGTTTCAAAGATTCTGGCAGAGTGAATTGCGTCATGGTGCTCTTTTTTTCTCACAGACTGTGTCCACCCGACCCTACCATGCTGGGCAGTTGGCAAAATCAAAAACAACGCGCATGCGCAAAATTACAATTTAAAATAGTGACAATTTACCGATCGCATCCTCTATAGTTGATTCATGAGTTTTGAATTAAGTTATCCTTTATCAAGACCGGTTACTCCCCAAGGCTAAAGAGCCCAGTTTGATCTACTATTTAACCCATAGATTATGGCCACATCGCATTGAAACATTCGGCTATCTAATTCCTCACTCTTATCCATTACTTCATTGTGCCTTCATCTCGTCTTTAAATTTTTTATAAAGTATTACATTTCGTAAACGGGGAAAAAGTAATTGTGCCGTGAGAAAATGATTTGAAAAATATATAAGCATACCATAGTAGATCAATACAGTGTCGAGGTGGAGGGGTGAAGAAAATAATTTAATTGTGCTGCTGCTTTAATTTGGTACATGAGGGTACATATTCGGCTAAATATTAAGAAACAGAAAACTTTCCTTAGAAACAAAGAAAAGAATACTAAACTGTTATGTAATATCAGTCCTCCTATCTGGCAGTGAATGCTGGACAATTTCCTCACAAATGAAAAAGACATTTGAAGCAATAGAAATTTGGTTCTACAAATGGATGCTGAGGGTGACATGGACCGAAAATATGAGCAATGATGAAGTCTTAGAGAAAATGAAAACAAGAAGGAAACTTACACTTTAATATCAGAAAGAGGCAGTTGAAATTTCTAGGGAACATAATGAGGAAACAGAGCTTGAAAAATTTAATACTTACAGGACAGATTGAAGGCAAGAGGGACAGAGGTAAACAACGCATAACCTAGCCGACAAACTTGAGTAAAGATGCCAAAACAGTGAAAGACAAATTTTATTAAGATTTACGTAGGACAAGAAATTGTCCCGATGTATGTTCTGAAAGGCACGATACATAGAACTATAAAAACCATTTTATTTTTTTTACTTAAGGATGATTTATAGAAAGTTTTTCAACAAAAAAGTACTTGCACTATGCGATAAAATTATTTTCAAATTGCTGAAATTTAATTAAAACTTTTAATTGAAGATGAGCGAAAGAATAAAATGACAAAAGTAAAGATGGCACTAGAAAAAAAAAGATGTCGTCCCTATTTTTAGATCATACAGTGACGAATAGAATTCTGGTGAATCAGTTCGTTGTGTGCAATATGTTCATTAGCATTAATCCCTCAATGGGTGGGAAGGTAGAAATTGTGCTGGCGAAAAGGAGGAGGGTGTGACCAGGCTAGGAAAATAGGGTTGTTGCTATTTTCTGCTTGTGAACATTATTTACAGCTTTTATCAACTGGCATGTTTCACAACAGCACATGCATTTGTTTATTTTTTTTTTTTTTTAAGAGAGAAATTCTTTCATGTGATTTCTATAGTCGTTTATTTAATCTTTAACATTTTTTTATCATTTTCTTCCATGTGAACTGCTTCACCCTCTCATGACATAACCTACTTTTAAGGTCTTGTAGATCTCTTCCTTTTTAATATAGCTCTACCCCACCACCTTCAAAGTTTAGTGTCTTAAATGTCTTATCCCAACCATCCCCTGTTTCAAAATCTTATATCTCTATCACCACCACCACCACCACCACCACCATTCCCACACTTTGGTGTCTCAACTCACTCTAAATCTATGTTTGGTCATTCTCACTCACCCTCAACTCTCATTAGTCGACGGCATCCCGCGTTGTTCTCTCCCTCTCGCTACACCTCAACGAGTTGCTCTCTCCCCTCCGCGTCACACCTCTACGGTTTGATGTCTCCCCTCCGCGTCACACCTCTACGATTTGATGTCTCCCCTCCGCGTCACACCTCTACGATTTGATGTCTCCCTCCGCGTCACACCTCTACGATTTGATGTCTCCCCTCCGCGTCACACCTCTACGATTTGATGTCTCCCCTCCGCGTCACACCTCTACGATTTGATGTCTCCCCCGCGTCACACCTCTACGATTTGATGTCTCCCTCCGCGTCACACCTCTACGATTTGATGTCTCCCCTCCGCGTCACACCTCTACGATTTGATGTCTCCCCTCCGCGTCACACCTCTACGATTTGATGTCTCCCCCTCCGCGTCACACCTCTACGATTTGATGTCTCCCCTCGCGTCACACCTCTACGATTTGATGTCTCCCCTCCGCGTCACACCTCTACGATTTGATGTCTCCCCTCCGCGTCACACCTCTACGATTTGATGTCTCCCCCCGCGTCACACCTCTACGATTTGATGTCTCCCCTCCGCGTCACACCTCTACGATTTGATGTCTCCCCTCCGCGTCACACCTCTACGATTTGATGTCTCCCCTCCGCGTCACACCTCGACGATTTGATGTCTCCCCTCCGCGTCACACCTCGACGATTTGTTCTCTCTCTCCAGTCAGCTCTGGATGCTTTGTTCTCACTTACTCTCGTTACCCCTTTTTAACGCTTTTTACCTCCTTCTCGTAACCTCTCCACTCTTTGTTCTCTATCTCTGGTCACCTCCCATTGCTTTGTACTCTCAATATAGTCACCTCGTTCTCTCCCTCAAGTCACCTTTTGATGATTTTTCTCTACCCCAGCCGTCATCTCACCACGCTTTGATCTGTCCCTCTATCCACATCCTCATGCTTCTGGTCCCCTTTCTCCCTCTCTATCCACTTCTCCACGATTTGTTTTCTCTTTCTCTCTCTCATTCTGTCCACTTCTGCACGTTTTGATCTCTCTCTCTCCACCTCTCAACGCTGTTCTCTCTCTCTTGTCCACCACTCCATGTTTTATTCTCTTTCTCTCTATCCCCCTCTTCGTGCTTTGTCCTCTCTCTGTCCCCACCCTCTTCGTGCATTGTCCTCTCTCTGTCCCCCCCCCTCTTCGTGCATTGTCCTCTCTCTGTCCCCCCCCTTCGTGCTTTGTCCTCTCTCTGTCCCCCCTCTTCGTGCTTTGTCCAATCTCTCTGTCCCCCCCTCTTCGTGCTTTGTCCTCTCTCTGTCCCCCCCCCTCTTCGTGCTTTGTCCTCTCTCTGTCCCCCCTCTCTTCTGTTTGTCCTCTCTCTGTCCCCCTCTCTTCGTGCTTTGTCCTCTCTCTGTCCCCCCTCTTTCGTGCTTTGTCCTCTCTCTGTCCCCCTCTCTTCGTGCTTTGTCCTCTCTCTGTCCCCCCCTCTCCGTGCTTTGTCCTCTCTCTGTCCCCCCCCCCCATCTTCGTGCTTTGTCCTCTCTCTGTCCCCCCCCCTCTTCGTGCTTTGTCCTCTCTGTCCCCCCCCTCTTCGTGCTTTGTCCTCTCTCTGTCCCCCCCCCTCTTCGTGCTTTGTCCTCTCTCTGTCCCCCCCCCTCTCTTCGTGCTTTGTCCTCTCTCTGTCCCCCCTCTTCAGAAAACTTTGTCCTCTCTGTCCCCCCCTCTTCGTGCTTTGTCCTCTCTCTATCTCTCTATTTATTTCTCCATGCTTTGTTCTCTCTCTCTCTATCCACTTCTCCATGCGATATCTCTCCCTCTCGTCTACACCACACACTTTGTTTTCTTTCTCTCTCTCTCATCCCAACCCTTGGTATTCTATCGCTATCCACCACCCCATGCTTTCTTCTCTCAATCTGGTCACCTCTCAACGTATTCTCTCTTTCCCTCTCTCGTCACCTCTCCACATTTTGTTTTCTCTCTGTGGCGGACATGAGACAGAACCTGGGACGAGCACAACTGGTCGCGACTTGCCTTGTCCCCGCCAAAAAAGAGCCCGTATTTGCTTAGCATGTAAAGCTACTGCAGTTGAAATGAGGGAGAGAAAAAAGCACTTACCGCTCTGCCGTAATCCATCCTCGACCAGATAATGTAAAAACCATATTTATTGTACAAATGATTACAAATTTGGCACAAGGCCGAAATGGGGAAAGGGGGGAAAAAATGGTCATCTCTTGTCTTAACTTTAAAAAACTTAGCTAGCCACAATCACTGACCCAAACATACAAACAATGTTCCTTTCACCAAAACAACACATCCATTACGTACCATTCTTACGAATACATCCACCAAAATGCCTCAGAGTCTCTATGGAGTTCTAACTAGTCCCCATATATACAACACATGTGTCTGTGGGGGGAGGGGAATAAGATAACAATCTAAAAAAACCCCAATGAATATTTACAATGAATACAAAACTATATACAAGAAACTAAACAAAAATTTTTGTTAGTAGTAAAACCCCCCACAGCCCTAACTGTGGCAGAGACATCAGTTAACTGGACGAAAACAATGCGGGTCTTAAAACAGTTAATATAAAACATTCATACCATCCATCTACTCACTTGTAAACACGCACTCAATCAAACACAACAACCAATACGAAAGACATACTCGAAACGAAAATGCGACCCCAACCCCCCAGAGAACTGATACCCTAACCACCCCAACGATGGGAGGATGGGGAAATAAACAAAAGGAAAAAAAAAATAGGGCCAGAAAAAAAGGGGGGGCAAATGAGCATCCACAACCTAGCTAAGTTAACATGAAAAAAAAAAGAAGAAAAACTAACTAAAAACAAAACTGACCTAAACTAACCTATACAAGGGAGGGGTAGCCAATGTTCACCCCAGCGATCCCAAAATTCTTAATGCCTAACCGGCATCAAAATGCCACGATTTGAGTCAGCACCTTTCACTCTGCAGAGACGCGAAGACTCACCCACCTTTCGCCAAATTCCAATGGATGGAGTCGCTTCCTTTCCGTCCTGATCTTGACTTTAAGCTGATGCTTAAAGAACAAGATCAGTTGATGGAAGAGGAAAACTTCTCGCCCATGAAATTCCTTCTGTCGCGTCGTCCATATCACGACTCGCATAACACCCAGTAAGCACAGGAACACATAGTGCTCAGCCTTAGTCAACGGTGGTACTATATTGCTACAGACGGAACTGGCCTCGAGGACAAAGAACTTTCCACGCAGCATGCGAACCATGATATCTTCAATAAACTTGCACAGCGGAGCTACGACACTACAATGAAAGAAGGCGTGACCTATGGTCTCCACCTCCCCACTGCAGCGAACGCAGTTTGGCGACTTAGCCAAACCCGCTGAGCGAAGTCTTTTCTCGACCCAGAGGGCTCCTCGAATCACCAGCCAGGTGAGCGATGCCTCGGGATTAGTGAGACACTTCAACCCTATCGCCTTTGCAGCGAGCCTCCCTTTCGTCAGACCGAGCTCGCCTATCAAATCATCTCGAGCGTTCCCCTAACTAACACCTGATATAATGCCTTACATGAGACAACGGCCGGACGTCGGAGAGGCCATCCTTCGCCCGTAAGAGTCGCTTGAGGGCAATCCGACATTCACGATAGAAAGAGTCCCTCGCATCGAGGAGTACGAGCGGCCTCCTCCTCACACGAGCGCACCCCCCTCTCAAGGATGGAAAATGTTTACGGGCGTCTTCCTTCCAGAATTCGCCCCCCTCATCCAGTTGCATACACATCCGGTCCCCCCCCTTAATGCGAAGCGTATGTTGACGAGTCTCAACGCAAGGCACCCCCTCTGACCGCCATCAGAGGGATGGAGGTAACAGATCTCGCGACTGACCACGGCAGCCTTGCCTCCCTCTAAGAAGGAGAACAAGAGCCTTACAAACGCCAATAAAATGTCAGACGGGAGTTTCTTTTTCTCTCTCGGTAAAGGAGAATCGGGTAGATTGCGAGGCACATCCACCGCCCTCCCTTTCAAGGAAAGATTCCTCCGAGTCCACAGACGAACTGCGAGCTCGGCCTTCTCTCGCACCTCCGACCAATTCATTTCCAACTGGAGGTCGGGACCGAACCTGGGAGACGCCGAGTATCTTGACCGGCCCGTCCGTCCAGAAAGAAAGATCCGGGAAGAGAAACTCCCTTCCAATGACCCAACCGCAAGCCAACAGACTTATCGCGGTTGGACCAGATAATGTAAAAGAATGAGGGGGGACTGGCATCGCATTTTTATGCAATAACGATGCAATGCATTATGGGACATGGACACAATGAATTATGGGATCACATGAAGACGCAAGGGATTATGGGTACATGAACAACTATAAAAACAACTACTTTTTTCTGAGTCGGGGAGTTCTTCGAGGGACGTTCACGGTTGACGGCTAGAACGGGCAGTTAGCGTGATTTGGAGACAGAACTCAAGAAGGAACGACTCAAGTTTGAAATACCAGCTGGGAGAGCTTGAATTTACTTGCTGGTTACTGTTTTCTTTATTCGCCTCACTCTCTCTCTCTACCATCACCTCTCTACACTTTTCTCTTTCGTAACCTCTCAAAGCTATTTCTGTCTCTCGTCACCACTCTACACTTCTTTACTCTATCTTTTGTCATCTCTCCGCGCTCATTTCTCTCTCTCTCTCACCTCTACACACTTTGTTCTCTGCCCTCTTTTCCTACGCTTTGTTCACTCACTCCCTCTTTATATACTTCTCTATCCTCCTCGCTTTGTTCTCTCTCTCTCTATCCTCCTCGCTTTGTTCTCTCTCTCTCTATCCTCCTCGCTTTGTTCTCTCTCTCTCTATCCTCCTCGCTTTGTTCTCTCTCTCTCTATCCTCCTCGCTTTGTTCTCTCTCTCTCTATCCTCCTCGCTTTGTTCTCTCTCTCTATCCTTCTCGCTTTGTTCTCTCTCTCTATCCTTCTCGCTTTGTTCTCTCTCTCTATCCTTCTCGCTTTGTTCTCTCTCTCTCTATCCTTCTCGCTTTGTTCTCTCTCTCTCTATCCTTCTCGCTTTGTTCTCTCTCTCTCTTTCTCGCTTTGTTATCTCTCTCTCTTTCTCGCTTTGTTATCTCTCTCTCTCTCTCTTTGTTATCTCTCTCTTTTTTCTCTTTGTCTCTCTCTCTCTTTCTCTTTGTTATCTCTCTCTCTTTCTCGCTTTGTTATCTCTCTCTTTTCTCGCTTTGTTATCTCTCTCTCTTTCTCCTTTTGTTATCTCTCTCTTTTCCTCGCTTTGTTATCTCTCTCTCTTTCTCGCTTTGTTCTCTCTCTCTCTCTTTCTCGCTTTGTTCTCTCTCTCTCTCTCCTCGCTTTGTTCTCTCTCTCTCTCTCGCTTTGTTCTCTCTCTCTCCTTCTCTTTGTTCTCTCTCTCTCTCTCTATCCTCCTCGCTTTGTTCTCTCTCTCTCTCTCTATCCTCCTCGCTTTGTTCTCTCTATCCTCCTCGCTTTGTTCTCTCTATCCTCCTCGCTTTGTTCTCTCTATCCTCCTCGCTTTGTTCTCTCTATCCTCCTCGCTTTGTTCTCTCTATCCTCCTCGCTTTGTTCTCTCTCCTCCTCGCTTTGTTCTCTCTATCCTCCTCCTTTGTTCTCTCTATCCTCCTCGCTTTGTTCTCTCTATCCTCCTCGCTTTGTTCTCTCTATCCTCCTCGCTTTGTTCTCTCTATCCTCCTCGCTTTGTTCTTCTATCCTCCTCTGTTTGTTCTCTCTATCCTCCTCGCTTTGTTCTGTATCTCTCTCTTCATCTCTATATGCCTAATTCTTTCTGTCTCTCTCTTTCTCATTGCCCCTTTATGTTTTGGTTTTTCTTTCTCTCTCCCCTCTATCTTATCCCTTTGATCTCTCTTCTACCCCCATCCCTATTGTCTGTTCTTTTTCATTCCCTTCCTTATCTCCATTTTCATCATACTCTTCTTCTTTCTCACTCTCTCTCAAGAGTATATTCATGGCAGCAACCGCATAGTAATAAGAGAGGAGGCAAAAAAAAAAAGTACACCTGCCAAACACCTGAATGAATCATTTTTTTTTTTTTTATTGGCATCTTTTTTTCCATTAAAAATGAAGATACTGAAAAAAAAAAAAAAAAAGAAAAAAAGCTGCCAATGAAAAACATCAAGGAGAAAGTCAATCTTTGATGCAATGTTACTTTGGAACATAAGCTTCCAGCTAAAATTAGGAGCCTCACCTTTCCTTTATCTGCAAAAAGTTTCACCTAACAGTGACACCTAACAAGGTGGTGAAATATATGGCATGTCTCAATTTACAAGATTACCTGACACACATCCCTACCTAGGATTTTACATATTCAAAATTAACTCTGTGTAATAGGAAAAATTCTTTGATATTTTTTTCATATCTTCTTCATAATCTATAATTCAGTACTATGTACAGTAGGACCTAGTTTTCTACATATATAGCTACCAATACACCACAGATGGTAAAATTCTTGGATTATACTAAATCTTATATACTAAGTGTTCAAATATTTTCACTGGGAAACTATTAAACATTGTCTTCATGGAGGAAGAGATTTGAGACAACAGAGATATGGTTCTACAGTAGGATGGTGACAATACCAAAAATGTTTACAGCAAATGGTATAAGAATCAGAAAGACTATATATCTCGGACACATAATGAAGAAAGAATGGATATTTTTTTTACAGCTTATCAACCTTTTGCTCGTTATATAAAGCTGGGAATATTTTTAGATAGTAAGAATTTTTTTGAGATAATGTTTTATGGATACAAGTTTTACTAATTAATCCATAGTTGGAGGAGAAGGGGTGGATTTCCCAAGGGTATTTGTACATAAGTGAATATAACAAACCTGACTGGAATTGGTACTCGGCTTGAATTTCCAATTCTGAGCCATTATCTATTACACCATCAGCTTATCCAAACTTACAGCATTTGGTATTCCCAAGCAGTCACCCATCTAGGTATTGACAAGGCTCAACATTGCTTAACTTCAGTGATTGAATGAATTGAAGAATTTGGCACCTACCAGACAAATTGGAAGCAAGAAGAGGAGAGAAAAATGGTGAATAACCTAATAATGTGTTTGTGTAATAAATGGCAGAACAATGATTAGAGCTACAAAATTATGAAGAGTCCTGAACATCCACAGTGCTTCAAGGAAGAATTAAAATTTTAGGTTTTAAATTTATTCATGTTTTTTTATAGAAAAATGTTAAATAAGTAAGTACAGTAGAACTCCCCAAATCCAAATATAGCATATTGATATAAATACGAAGCCTTTTCTTCATTGAATCAGAACAGTACCCTAAATATCAAACATCTCAGATGTTCAGTTTAGTGGAGTCGTACTGTATATCCCTATTTTTGATTTCTTTTACAGATTGTAATTGTTTTTGAATAAGATATTTCATAAATTTTTAAACATTTCATAAAGTGTCTTAGTTTTTCACAATTTACAATATTTATTTAGCACAAATTTTTTCATTACTATTGGTTGGCAATTATTTTTTGTACATTTATGTATTTAATTTACATTTTAAATAAAAAATAAATCAACATTACAACCTACCTTTTGTATCCTATACACTAAAACTTAATAAAAATTTTAAGCTTGCCAAAGCAGCCTTTTCTTCCTCAAATCCAAATAGTACCTTCAATACCAAACATCTTGGATGTTCTTTTTAGAGTTGTACTGTATAAAAAAGAATGGAATTGCCATAAAGTTAATTTTCTTTAACCAGCAGTATTTTATTATATATATATATATATATATATATATATATATATAAGTCTTATAGTGTATGTTGTCCTGAAGTAACCACTTGGCTGCCAAGAGCAGAATAATCTGATTAGACCAGCTGCACCTGTATTGCAAGCATGAAAACATGCCATGTGATAAAAGGTAGGCATATAAACACCCACCCCAGTGCTGAGTGAACAGTCTTAATTATCACAGGCAAGAATGTATGGCCCACATTTGAGTAAGGTTCTAGAGTCTCTCACTCACTCTCTCACTGATTATTATATACTGGCAATGTATGAAATTGGGACAAAAAATGTATTGTTAAATGTGAGATATTCAAGCCTCATATTATTCATTATTGCCCATTTGATGACAGAGCGAATGAAATTCCCAATAAAACTGCTTTCATTTCACCACCATGGAGGCTCAGCTCCAGGAGAGCAAAGCATTATGCCTCCTTAGCCTAAAGTTTTCCACTGACATGAAGTGAAGTGACTATATTGAATCAATAGCTTCATCTACTTCAAGGAAAGTTGGGTCACTATGTCATTTGACAAAATTTTTCTCCCTCCTGTTTTTTCTTTCTCTCTCATCATCTCACTATGGTTTGTTCTCTCTCTTTCTCTATCCTCCGTGCGTTGTTCTCTCTCGCCACCCCTCCACAATTTGTTCTCTCTCTCGCCACCCCTCCACAATTTGTTCTCTCTCTCGCCACCCCTCCACAATTTGTTCTCTCTCTCGCCACCCCTCCACAATTTGTTCTCTCTCTCTCATCACCCCTCCACAATTTGTTCTCTCTCTCCACCCCTCTCACAATTTGTTCTCTCTCTCTCATCACCTCCACAATTTGTTCTCTCTCTCTCATCACCCTCCACAATTTGTTCTCTCTCTCTCCATCACTTCTCCCCTCCCACAATTTGTTCTCTCTCTCTCCACCCCTCCACAATTTTGTTCTCTCTCTCGCCACCCCTCCACAATTTGTTCTCTCTCTCGCCACCCCTCCACAATTTGTTCTCTCTCTCGCCACCCCTCCACAATTTCTCTCTCTCATCACTTCTCTACACTTTCTCTCTCTCTCATCACTTCTCTACACTTTCTCTCTCTCTCATCACTTCTCTACACTTTCTCTCTCTCTCATCACTTCTCCACACTTTCTCTCTCTCTTCTCATCACTTCTCTACATTTTTCTCTCTCTCTCTCTCCCCGTCACTTCTCTACATTTTGTTCTCTCTCTCTCATCACTTCTCTACATTTTGTTCTCTCTCTCTCATCACTTCTCTACATTTTGTTCTCTCTCTCTCATCTTCTCATTTTGTTCTCTCTCTCTCATCATTTTGTTCTCTCTCTCTCTCATCACTTCTCCCCATTTTCTCTCTCTCTCTCATCACTTCTCTACCGTTTTTCTCTCTCTCTCTCTCATCACTTCTCCCCATTTGTTCTCTCTCTCTCTCTCACTTCTCTACATTTTCTTCTCTCTCTCTCATCACTTCTCTACATTTTGTTCTCTCTCTCTCTCATCACTTCTCTACATTTTGTTCTCTCTCTCTCATCACTTCTCTACATTTTGTTCTCTCTCTCTCATCACTTCTCTACATTTTGTTCTCTCTCTCTCTCATCACTTCTCTACATTTTGTTCTCTCTCTCTCATCACTTCTCCCCGTTGTTCTCTCTCTCTCATCACTTCACTTCTCCCCGTTTTTGTTCTCTCTCTCTCTCTCTCATCACTTCTCCCATTTTGTTCTCTCTCTCTCATCACTTCTCTACATTTTGTTCTCTCTCTCTCTCTCATCACTTCTCTCCGTTTTGTTCTCTCTCTCTCTCTCATCACTTCTCCCCGTTGTTCTCTCTCTCTCATCACTTCTCCCCGTTGTTCTCTCTCTCTCTCATCACTTCTCCCCGTTGTGTTCTCTCTCTCTCTCTCTCATCACTTCTCCCCGTTGTGTTCTCTGTCTCATCATGATCCATCTTGCACATTTATAAATCTATCATTTGTCTATGCATGGAAAATTGCTGCCATATCTGGTCTGATGTTCCTGCTGTACATCTTGTGATTCTTGACAAAATTCAAAGAAGGATCTGTAATATAATTGATCCTGACTTGGCATCTCGATTTCAGTCACTTTCTCACCGACATCATTTGGCTTCCATCTCTCTTTTCTACAAATATTTTCATGGCAACTGCTCTGACGAGCTATTTTCACTGGTGCCCCAACTACATGAATTTATCCATGTTACTAGATTGGCATTTAGGTCCCACTCTTTTACTGTTGAAATAGCTAAATGCAACTGCCACTTGTACTCCAACAGTTTCATTTCTTGCACTTCCCACCTGTGGAACTTCCTTCTGTTTACTTGCTTTCCTGATAAGTACAATCTTTAAAAATTTTAATACAACATCAATGACTGTTTTATGTCTTCTTGAATTCCTTTCATGTTTTGTCTTTTCCTAAGTCCTCCCTATTCTCAGTCTTCTTTTTCACTTTCACTTCATCTAACCCCTGTGCATTAGTGGCATTACCACCTTGCTTGGGGTGAAATGATTAAAAGAGAAATATATGTGACTTATGACAAACCAACAGTAAAAATGAAGTGAACTGGGGGGAAAACATTTCAGTTGTCTGTCTATATTTCCCCAAGGAAACATGGCACAGTGGATAAAGGCATTAGTTAGATCCAGTGACAGGACCCAAACAGTGTGAGTTCAATACCCAGTTAAGGCAGTGAAGAAATTGGAGAGGAGAATTAACAGGAGATAACTGATAACTGACATCCATTAAACATGGCACGTGGAACTAGAACAGTCTACCCCAGTGAGTTAAATAAAGGGTTCAGTTTGACATTCCAACCACCTGAAGAAGGCCAGAGCATACAACAGCCGAATCGTTGTAATAAATATGGCGACAAAGATGAGGACAATAGTCCGAATAATGTAAATAGTGTACATAGTACTTCATCTCAGAAATATAGACAGATACTGAAGGGACGAAGTGTTGTAATAAATATGGTGACAAAGAGGAAGACAATGGTCCGAATAATGTAAATAGTTTACATTTCAGTTGTTAATGATTGAATGTTTTTCTCTTTTATTAATTTCCACTTACATCAGAACTACATATTGGTCAGCAAGTTTAATAATAAATTCTTAATATATAAAGTTTTAAATATCTTTTAAATATTTTAAAATATGAAATATTTTAAGTTAAAAGTTTAATAGTAATGTTGAGAATAACCGTTTCCATACAGGAGACACTGGACATTCACCAATCAAACTGTCAGTTGAGATTTACAAAAATCTTTCTCTTGAACAGTTTTTCAGGAAAATAACCATCTCAAGATTTGTGCTATTGCACTTTCTAGTAGTGCTGGGAGTTTCCTACCTAACTTTTTGTTTAAGGTTGTGTGGAAGGTCAACATCTTGATGATATTATTTTCCATTCTAATTACATGTACCAGTCTCTGACCATTATCAGGTGACTATTGTTTTGATTATTGGATTATTTTGTCTCTGTGATGTCTGTGTTCATGGATATTTTTCCTTATGTGATCCTTGAAATTTCAACTGTCCTTTGGTTTCCATTTTCCTTAAACTTGCTTCTCTTATGCTTCAGCCATTGTATTCTCAGCATTCTTCTGTAGAGTCACATATCTGTGAGCAAATAGTCCACTATCCACTTGGATATAGGAAAATTGATATTACATAGCAGTTCAGCCATCTTTTCTTTGTTTCTAACATAATTTTCCTGTTTCTTAATACTTAGTTTAGCTTTTGGAAAGCATCTTTTGCTTAGGGTGAAATGATTAAAAAAAAAAATTAAAATAGATAAATAAGGAAGGTTTCATTTTAAGATTTCATGAAAAAGCACTTCTTTATCATCTTTACGTATTATTTTATAACTGGACATTCTAAGATAAGAAAAAAAATTATCAGAAATTTGTCTCTTCAGTTTTCTCTTGAAAATTTGTTAAGATTCTGCAAAAAGCTGCATTATTTGCCTTGTATTTTGATTGGTAAATTTTGGTCTGTCAAATGGCTCTAAAATAATTAATTTAATCTCTATTGACTGACTGTAGTGTTTAATATTCCAAAATTTTCCATTCTTTAATTACAAATGATATTATATAATGAACATTTCATACTTAGTATTATTCCAGGATGATAACTCCTATGCTGCACATACCCACATATATTTTGAACTCAGAGTCTCAAGTTCAAATTCTGACCAAGTCTGCTTTGTTCACTTTACACTAAGGCTTCAATCTATCTTTTTTTCAGCTATGGATTAAATAAGCAAGGCAAACTGAGCTCTCTTGACTTGCATGGCAGCCAGTCTAGAAGAGCAACAATAAATTCAAAACCAGTCCGCAGAAGGATAGGCTCCATCAGGCTATCTTGTTCTAGCAAGTTATGAGACTCTGCCGGGATATTGAAAATAAGATTCTATTTTAGAAAATTAGTAAGTTTTATACTAGATTGTACTTATTTGACAAATGTCTTTAAAATAAACTTCTAGGAAACAATCATTTTCTACCTTTAGATTTGTTCTTCTGTTTTCAGTGTTTGCTTTTTAGGATCTAAATTTTACAGTTTGCATATGTAGTTTAAATATCTGAGTTTGGGAAAATTTTTTGATATTTTATAACTACTTTTTGATTACTGTTTTCTTCTGACGTCTTGTTTTACAGTCAATTTTGATCCTCAAAAATTTAAATGCAATATCAGTCGTCGTCATCTTTCTCCTTAATTCCTGTTCTTTTATTAGCCTCTCGCCACTTTCTCTCTCTCAGATTCTTTTACACTCAGTAACCGCCTTGTGTCTTAGTTGCTTTATTGCCTTGCTTGGGGTGAAATGATAAAAGAAAAAGACTAATTAATCATTTTCTCTGTAATGTAGATTCCCTTTGCCATTTGTATAAAGGCCTCATCTTTTTACACTTGAAATGGCTATACATATAACTATGTTCTATGCTAACGATTTCTTCTCTTGTACTTGTGGATCTCGCTTCCAACTTCTTGCTTTCTAGTCCGCTTTGATCTTCAAAAATTTAAATGCAATATCAATCATTATCATCTGTCTCCTTAATTTCTGTTCTTTTATTGTTCTTGCTCCTTAATAGTGTTCTTTTTTTTTTTTTCTCTCATATTCTGTCACTATCGGTAACCTATTGTGCCTTAGTGGCTTTATTGCCTTGCTTGGAGTGAAATGGTTAAAAAAAAAGTTTTATTTGATGTTGTCAACTCAAGATCTTTTGTGTAAGCATCTGTTTAAATTGAGTTTTCAAAGACGTATTTCTCTAGCAACACAAATATCTATATGATAGTACATGTTCACCCCATACAAGGCCCAAGAACCACTCAAGATAGAGAATTATGGAACAAGGTTGTTGTATGGACATAAAAGGAGGTAATTGCATATTATCAAGATGAGTAAGATAACGGTTGACCATAGACATGAAAAGGTTAAGACTATAGTGTTTGGGGAAGCATCCTCTCAGGAATCTTTTCCACAAAACAGCAGTTCATACAGGGATTTAAAAAATGTTCATTTGGCAAATATTTCAGAAATATGAGAAACAAACTGCAGCAGACATTAGGATCTGATAACGGATCAATGAAAGCTGATGCTTTCTGTCTTGAAATCTTTCTGATTTGCTTGGAGGAATTAAAAAAGGAAAACTGTTTCAGGGCTTTCATTGTTATTTTTTGTTTTGTTTTTTTCGTCTTCCGTCTTTTTTATTTTAAGATCAGATGAAAGTAAAAAAAAAAAAATAGCTGTAAGCAAAGGTCTGATTTCTATCAAACTGCTTCAAGACTAATTTCTATACTGAGGATATTTATGTATTGGTAGTTATATACATACATACATACACACACACACACACATATATATATATATATATATATATATATATATATATATACACACACATACTCATATCTATATATGTGCATCAGTAGATGCATATCAATAAATCTATAGGTTCAATGTTGCTTTGATAATATTTTTCTTTTTTTTTTTTTTAAAGAGAGTTCAAAATATTCTTGTTTCTTTGACATGGAAGGAACTAGAATCATTGTCTCATATTAAATCTCAGATATCTTATTTTCTTTCTGAAAATAGACATACATCTTATACAAGGACATGTCATAAACAGTAAAAAAAAAACGATTGTAATTTTCTTATTGGACCATTTAAACACAATTTTTTTTAACCAACTTAATCTGGTTTATGGCTACAACACATTGAAACATTGGCTCTTGATTGATTGGTTTGTTTTTTATGGCTTATCAACCCTTTTCAGATTATTTAAAGTCAGAAAATACTTTTTTTAGATTGTAAGAATTTTTTTTTTTTTTTTTTTTGAGATAATAATGATTTAGTGATACAAGTCCTACTAATCAACCCATAGATAGCTCGGGGGTGTGGTGAAGAAGTGGATTCTTCCCTTTCCCAAGGGTATTTGTGCATAATTGAATACAATACCTGACTGAAATTGAAACTCTGCTCAATTCCGAATCATTATCCATTACAACAAAAATACATACAAGTTTATAGCACCTGGTATTCCCAAGTTGTCACCCATCCAAGTACTGACTATGCTCAATGTTGCTTAATTTCGGTGTGCATATGGGAAGCAGTGTTTTAATGTGATGTGGTCATAAGCACATCATCATCAAAGTTAAGAAACATCAAGCCTGGTTAGTATGTGGATGGGTGACTGCTTGGGTATACCAGATGCTTGGATGCATTGGTTGTGTAATAAATAACAGCTCAGGATTGAAATTCAGAGAGCCAAGTTCCAATTCCAGTTATGCTTGTTAGATTGTGAGCAAATAGCCTTAGGGAAGGTATGAATCTACCTTTTCTCCCCTAGCAATGGGTTAATTAGTAGAAGTTGTATTAGTAAAAATCATTATTATCTCTAAAATATTCTTACAATCTAAAAATATTTTCTGGCCTTAAACAATCTGTGAAAAGTTGATAAGCTATAAAAAACAAATCCATCAACCAACTTAAAATATTATTTCCTCAGGTTTTCTGTGGATCCAATGAACAAATATAAATGTTTGACTGTTATTTCTTTCATCTTAATTTTAGTTTCTTAATTCAAATTAGTAATAGTAATAAAATTATCTTTCATTTTATTAGACTAAGAAATGTCAGCTGTTATTAATTTTTGAATGCCATTTCTTTCATGTGAATTTTAGTTTTCATTGCAGTTACTTAGCCTCTTATACCCTGACCACCACTAAACAATGCAGACTGTTCCCAAAGAGAGTTGTATCTCTTTTGTTTTAATAGTATTATTAATATTTGTTATACCATACCAATGGACGATAATGTCCCAATTCCTAAAAATACATTGGTATATACTGTATGTTGTCTTCCACTTGGGATTCACCTTGATTCACTTCTAACTTACCACTAGCAGTTGATTACGTACTATATGCCACTGGTGAATCTTGTATGCTGTTCTTGTTATAAATATTATCATTCCATTTCCAACCTTCTTTTTGACTATTCTTATTCAATAACCTGTCCCTAGGTTACAACATTATTAATACTGATTCAACTGCATTTGTAAATGTAAAAAAACAAAGAAATCAAATATGGCTTTGTGTCATCAGGAGAGAACAAACAGCAAGTTTAAATTGTTAGATTTGATATTCTGTCAACTATAAAAGTCCTTGTAGCTCAAATGATAAAGCAGCTGTTAGAGAGAAATGAACTTCTTGATGAAAATTGATTAATCTCAGAGCTTTCCCATTGATGCAATTTACTAATGGTTTGTTGTGATTTAAAAAAAAAAATTCAAGTTAACAAAGTTGACAAAGGATCCATATCCACATTGCTATACTCATTTAAACTGTGAAAAATGCTCACTGTCCTTAAAATATAACCTTTGAAGTGATTCAGCATAATGTCCTTGTTGACTATGTGAGTAACAGCTTCATGTTAGGATTACCTGAAAAGGCAAAGGTCGCCAGAGAGTTGCTTGCTTAAGAAATCAGTCACTCACTATTTTTTTTTCTCTGTCAACATTTATGATATTTGAGTAATAAATCAGAGACATCTGCCAAAGGGAGAATGCCGACACAAGTAAATTCCTTCCTTTCTCAAGTCTATTAGTGTGAAAGGAACAGCTTCAACCAGAATTGAAACTCTGTTAACCAATTCATTTTTTTACAGAAATGTTATTCCATATGACATCTCTTACATATCTGTAATTATTTTTCAAGGTTTTAATAATCTAACGGTTTATTTTAAGGATTGAATTATTAAATGATAACATCCTATAGAAATCCCATGTATGCTGGCCTTGTACCAGACTGATCATTTATTTGCTATCCATTATGTGTGCAATCATGACTCTCCTCAACTTCCTGTCTCTTTTAGCATTAAGCAATGGTTAACCCTTTACCATTCCTCTATAACTTTGCTCTGCCATCCATCTATTCCTACAAACTCTTTAGGTAAATTACTAGGTCATGGCTCACCACAACTTCATCTTTTTTACATCTAAGCAATATTTGATGCTTTACCATTATTCTTTGACCCAAGCAAGGTAGTAAAGCCACTAAGACACAAGGGGTTACTGAGCGTGAAAGAATAAGAAAAAAAAATTAAGAAATGAGAACAATAAAAGAGAAATCAAGAAGACAGCAGATAATGATTGACATTTAAATTTTTGAAGATCAAAGTTGGCTGAAAAAAAACTTAGTTGCATCTAGCTGATTCAACTATAAACTGATGAGACCTAGCTGCCAATCTAGTACTGCACTTAAATTCATAAAGTCTTGGTACCATAGAGAAAAATTATTCAGAACAATTAGCATAAAATTATTGAAAAAGTACAGGGAAATGGATGCATGGTGGAGTAATGGTTAGTGGCTCAGATTGAGGAATCGGAGAGCTGAGTTCAAATTCCACTTGAATCTATTACATTCAATTATGTGCTAATACTCTTGGGAAATGTATGAATCCCCTTCTTCTCTCCCCATCTATGGGCAAATAGCAAGACAGACCAGCCTCTATAGTCTTGGATGGCAATTGGTCTACCACAGAAAGAAATGGCAACCTACTGCAGGAAAAAAATCTGCCTCGTCAGTCATGTATTGAAAGATACATGGTCGCCTAAGTGTGCATCCCACATGGCACATAACTGACTGACTGATAGGGAAGTGACTGAAGCCAAGTTGCCAGGTCAGGTAAAATAACATTGTGTCTTCTTTGGATTTTACCACGAATCTCTAATTATATAACAGAAGCACTGATCAAATTATACGGAAAACATCAGCTCACACATGGTGACAAAGTTAAGCAACTCTGAACCTAAGGAGTACTTAGTCGGGTGACTACTTACAAACACCTGCTACTGTACATTATGCAAACATGTATATAACACTGATATGTCATTTTTACAGATATATTAGGTTGGTGCAAAAATAATGAAGTAAGAATGTTGTTTTTTGACGTTAAAAAATACATCAAAAAACGACATTATTACGTCATTATTTTTGCACCAACCTAATATTTACCAAAATTACACAAAAATATCTTAAAATACTAAAGAGTAAATTTATTCAATGAAATCACCATCAGCTTCAACCATGTCCTCCAGACGACATCAGAATTTCTTGCATCTCTTGTTTAAGTTGGTGATTGCTGCCATAATCCTTGCCTTCAGTTCATCTTTGGCCTTATGCTCAACTGTGCCCCACACATAATAAAGGGGGTTGTCATCTGGAGAGTTAGGTGGCCAGATCACCCCTTACATCTGGACACTTAACTCTCTAGATGTAAGGGGTGATGTGGTTGTAGAAATTGTCTGATAGCTATGACTGCTTTTTTTCTGCTTATGTGGCATGGTGCAGAGTCTTGTTGCCAGACATAGGGTCTTCCAGCAGCCACCCTTTTGACCCAGGGAAGCACTACCTCTGCAAGGCATTTGATGTAAGCCTCTGCATTGAATCTGAGATACACACCAACAAATCTGGAAATTCTTTTATCAGAATGATCAAATATATATATATATATATATATATATAAACAAAAAAAAAGCATCCTTTTTGTTACACACTTGCTCCTAATAACTATTACACATTTTATTTTTTTTTTAGTAATGTTTACCTAATACAATAGCCACTGCCACTCAAGGTAGAGGCTACTGTGTGGAGTTGTATTAGCTTAAGAAAGGATAAGTGTTAGGAGCATGGAACTGAAGCAGACTTTAAAAGAAACTAGAACCCAATTCTAAGCACAAAACAAGGCATAAATTTCTACTCCTACAGGAAGGAGTGTAAACCAGATGATTGGTGAATCTATAGGTTCCTGACTTGTGAAAGACAGAAATACTTTAACATTGAACAATTTATATTTAAATGCATACCAGAACCAGGAAAGGTGTTTGAAATACAGAAAATAATAAATAGAAAATTATATCCTTAATAAGGAACTCCCCTTGGCCTTAAACCAAACATGCACAAATGTGGATGAACCAGTCTGTTGACAACCAATGAGTGAGACCTTTGTATGTATATGTCAACATCCTCCTCTGACAACCACCTCTTAATTGCTAGCGTTCCCAGGTCCACTCTGACCTGGTGTGGTAGCATCTGTTAGGGTCCCAGCTATGGGCAAATAGTTAACCTTGAAACTGAGGTAAAAAGCATTATACAAGTGTAAAAATAGGTTTTAATACCAGAAATACTTTGTAAAAAAATTATTACCAGAAATAAATTTTTGAAGAATAAAAACTATTACCAGCAATATATTTTTGAAAACAATATTACCAGCCATATATTTCTGAGGAGAAAAATATTACCAGAAATAGATTTTTAACAAAGAAAAAATATTAACACTATGAAAGCATAAAAATAGGTTTTAATACCGGAAATACTTTGTAAAAAAAATTATTATAAATATAATAAATTTTTGAAGAAAAAAAAACTGTTACTAGCAAAACATTTTTGAAAAAAAAATATTACTAACAATGTTTTTAAAAACTAAATTTTACCAGCAATACATTTTTGAAGGAAAAATATTACCAGAAATAGATTTTTGACAAAACAAAATACTACCAGCAGTAATAATTTTGTTGGCATTAAATAACCCATTGAGGTGTTGATATGCCATAAAACAAACTAAACCAAACATCCTCCTCTGACATTATTAAGATATCAGTAAGATACTACCAAGTGCATTCATGTATGAAGTCAATGTAATTTTCACAATAAGAAAGCAAGTAGATCAACAAATCCTTGTGTAGGACAAAACAAAGTGTCACCCAGCTAGAAGACATCAAGTTTGTCTGAATACAAGTTTCAGAACAAGTTGGTGGCATGGAAGACATTAGGCTAGAGCGGTTTTTGGTCAGTTGAAGCAGGTGTGGAATATGACCAAGATAAGCAAAAGCACCAAGATTAGACTTTATACAACCTTAGCCATTCCATTATATAGTTGTAAGACATGGAAAATGAATCAGAGAGATGACAAACTTATTGACTTAAGATGTTGGCATGGAAAACATGAAGACTAGAATGGTAAAAGTCAAAGTCGCTTTTGGTTGGTTGAATCAGAGAGATGAGACAAGTTTATTGACCTATTTAATAACAACTACTAAGGGATTCTCAAGATTAGTTGACAAGACCATGTGAA